GGAAGGTTCTGAGGCAGACGCCTGCGGGGAAGAGATTTTCCATAGGGGCTTTATTGCTTTTAGATTTGAATGTTTCGTAAGTGCCAAAAAACAAGAAAAAGGGCCATGCAGAAATGAGCCTGTTTTTCAGAATGAGATGAAATAAATACCCGAGCAAGCCGCCTTATGGGGAGGGGGGGGACAATGTTAAACGGCTTTTCCCAAAGGAATAACCGTCCCTCGCACCCACCAACGGAGGCAGGGCTGAGCAGCAGGGACGACCTGCTCCTCCACAGGCAGAGACACACACAAGGGCCGCAGTTAAGTCTGCGCAGGAAACCTTAATAACGGCTCTTCTTTAAACGTCAGTGTTTGCTCTAGCATCTATTTAGTACCTATTCATATTCCATCGTCTTATTCATACCCTCTTACCTCATTTCTGCACATGAACATATATGAAAATACTGTAATATTACGTGACTGTGGCCGTAAGACATATTTGCAGCAATATGAGGAAGCCTTTTATTTACGGGGGCACTCTTGCCTTCAAGTGTTGCCTTTTGCGGCACCTGAACATGTCACCTGGGAAGTGCCTCAGTGATCCCGTCGAGCAGGATGTTTTAGCCCCCATCTCCACAGTGCAACACAGGGCATGGAGCACGTGGTGACTTGCCCAAGGACATGGGAATTGTGGCTGGGCCACTTGGGTCTCCTTAGCTCGTGGTCACCAGACTGTGTTTCTCCTCCTGCAGCCTGATTGTCAGCCTAGCAGAGACAGGGAAATGTAACCCGTGCTGGTCAGCGGGGTCTGGATTATCCCTCACATTCTATTTGCTCAATCCCCTAGTCCTGCTGCAGTAAAACTGCCCTGGGAAGGGCAGGGAAGTCACATGCAGTAAAGCAGCAGCGTCGACATGAGCCGGGGGCAATCGCGAGACCCGGCCGTCGTGGGCAGCCACGGGAGGCGGAGGGGCCCGGAGCCAGGCAGGGCCGGGAGGCACCGGGACACAGGGCTGGGATTGCCTGGGAGCCGGACACGGTGCCCACCATGGGGCAGCCTTCCCAGCCGCACTCGACCCCGGCAGAGCTACCGGGTGCAGAATTCACAGGCAGGACCAGGCGGTCCCCCGGCTCTCCACGTGAAGGACGTCAGACTGACGCTGCGGAGATCCACACGGGAGAGGAAATGGTTTCCTCTTTCAGGAATTCCCAGGCCCCTGAATCCTTTGGGTGCCCCCCAGCTGTGCTCAGGCTCCCAAGGAGCTATGGGGAGCAAGCAGAGGAAGCCAATGAAGCAGAGGTTCTGCTTGCAGACAAACATCCAAGTAAAAGAGAACAACATGAAGGAAGAACCCCAAATCTGAAATCGAGACTGTTTCGGAACAGGTTATTTTCCATTGTTTTCAAGGAAGCACCGGATTCTCTTTCCTGTGAAGACGTTAATAGGTTATTGGGCAGTGAATAATGTGCAGTTCTATTTACATCCACAGTTTGGACTATTTTGGTCATTCAGATAGTGGGTCTGCTCTCAGGCCTTTCTAAAAGCAGCACGCTACACATTTTTTGCGAGCAAATCTGGACAGCAGCTACCACCAACACGCTCCAGCTGACTACAAACCAGACAGATCAGTATTTGTCTGGAATTTTTTTATTAAACCAATTGTCCTGGATCAATGCTTCCTCTAAGTAATAAATTACAATTCTGTCTACCCGCTGAAAAAGCTTTCAGCGTCTCGGATAAATCTTGATCTAGGAAACACGCGGTGCCTGTGACCTGGTGCGCAACGAGCCGTGGCTGGGAACCAGCCAAGCCGCCGCACACGTGTGCCCAGCACCTCGGAGCATCAAACTCTGCTCTTGCTCGCACCACAGCATGCTCGGGCACCTCTGAAAGGCTTCCAGGATGAGCCCCCTGCAGTAGGCATGAGCACGCCAGGGCATCGCATCTGGCTTTTGTAAAGGTCACTTCATGTCTTTCCCCCTCACAATGGACTAAAAGCAGAAACCAGGAGTCTAAGTCCATATTAACGCGCTTTATTCTTAGAGGGTCATAGATTTACCGTGGGATTTAGCCATATGTGATGTTAAAGTGGTAAATTAAGGACGCTCTGATGAAAGCATCTCTTCTAAGCGAGGCCCCGCTCCGGACCAGCCCACAGCCAAAGCAGCTGGGAGGAACCGGGGCAGCGGCCCCGTCCAGGCCCACACCAGAACCAAGCTCCAGCGAAAGGGGCAGGCGCATCTGGAGCGAGGCCGGACAGCGGTCAGCAGCTTTGGAGACCTACGAGAAGCCTGGTGGTGCTAGAGCCACCCTCGGAGGCGAAACTGCTTTCCCCCCCGAAGACAAGAAACAAGATCTGGGTCTGGGTATTCATCAACTTGAAACTATCGTACCAGATGTAGGGCTTTAGTGACTAGGCAAAGCGCAGGAGAAGGAAGACTTGTGCCTCTTGCAACAACGTCCTGACGCTCCCGAATCTGTGCCCATCTTCAGCAGGGAGCGCTCAGTGCTGCATTGCATAATATGCAAAGGAGAAAATAAAGTCCTTTGGGTCAAGGATGTACAGCTTCTCTAAATATTTTGATAAGACCTGCTGTTTGGTGCAATCTGCTGCATTTCAGAGGTCAAAAACTGTTATTCATATTCATGTGAGTTGTTCCCAAGGGAGATGCTCCAGCAGCACTCAGCGAATGGAGGGATACAGAACGCTGCCAGAACCCAGCAAAGCTCCCACTCTTCTCCTTCAACGCAGCCCTTGTTCATGGGTCATTTCTTCATGGAAGTCCCCACGTTTTCCCTCAGTGCAGTCACATCAGACAGATATTCTGCAAGTGACCTAGAAACTAGAAGAGGGGACCAAAGTTCCCCAGAAAACACCCTAAACCCCGACCAGGCGGCAGCCCAGCTCCTCCCGGCCTCTCGGGACGTGTCCCTGGTGGCAGCAGTGCCGCCGCCCCGCCTGATGCTGACACATAACTGCAGGCCGAACGCGCAGCGCCTGCACGCCGGCTCCGGCAGCACTTCGGAAGGGACACAGCGCAGCAGGAGCTGGGCCCACCCAGGGGCGGACACGGAGCGGCCAGGCACGGACACCCCCCTGGCGCTGCCTTCTCTGCACAAAGGCAGAGATAAATCGGGAGCTTTTAATTATTAATGCCGACAGGTCACATACGTGCACGCGAGCACCCGAGTGCTGGCAGTGACCGTGGGGCTTGGCACAGTCTGACGTCCTGCTTATTTCAGTCCTTTGCACAAGGCTGGCAGGGGCCCTACTGTCAAGCACCCCAGGAATAAGAACTTATCATGTATTGAGCCCTTATAAGGGAATCCTCGATCCCTCTCCCTGCAGAACAACCTTTTAGCACCGTCTCACCTTGGACAAGGTGGCTACAGCAGCTCCTGTTACAGTCCTCTTAGTGAAGTTTGCCAGGCTGGTTTGATGCCGAGATGCAGTGATGGAGATGGAAGGGATGGAATACATCCACACTAGACATATGCGTAAGAGACAAGCAAGCTGAAGGCTACTTTTGGATGAATCCACCCACACAAGACTAAATCCCCATTCCTCCCAGGCGCAACATGCGGATGAGCCCCAGGACAGCCCCGTGATTTGTTTGTTTTCAACAACGGGCTCATGGCAAGCAAATCTGTAGCCATGAGTATGAAACTGCTGGTAATTTTTAAAAAGGCAACCACTCCCACCCCTTGATCGGTCTCAACTGAAAAGCAATTTTATCCCCTTTCCTATATGACCAGCCTTGCAAGGACTCAGTATCGCGCTGTAGCTCCTGGGACCTCTTGCCCGCTCAGGATCCTGGACCACACAGAATCTAAATGACAGTGCAAGCTTCCAATTAATGGAGCCTTCTAATAACGTTTCCTAATCCAAGCAAATATCAAGGAATCAGTTCAGTGCCAGATCTGAATCTTCTAAGCCTATGAACTGCTTGTTAAATGTAGCACCAAGAGGCTTCTGACCACCCTACAACTCCTTCCTGCAATACTCTCACTAACTGCATTATAGGGAATAATGCAAGGTGTCCAGAAGAGTCCAAAATGTTAATAAAATCAGTATATAATTTGATAGATGTGTCTGAATGATGTTCTTGCACTCTGTGCTTTTATATGAGATGTGAGCCAGTTGTAATTAAAGTTGAAGCAATAAACCCTGCCCATTGATTGCACTAAGTAATTAATTATTGATTGCAGCACTTTACATACATATTGCAGGGGACAAGTCACCTGTGCAGCAGACAAAGCTTAACTCTGAAATACCTGGACACAACCCCCTGCTCAGGGGTTGGGAGCTGCACAAGAGCTGGCGCTCCCGCTCACAAGCTAATATCCCTATTAACCTTCACGGAAATACTGCCGAATGAGTGGAAAAAAGGCATCGCTTTTCCCAAAGACAACGCTAACAAGTCTCCATTCTAATTAATTTTGCAAATAAATACGTGCAGATGCCAAATGCAGCCTTTCCCTGCACGATACAGAGGGGTTTCAGGCGCCCGTCAGGGGAGGCTGCGATGGCCGCGCGCAGCGGGCGCTGACGGGCGCTGGATGCTGCAGGCAGCAGCCCTACGGCCGCAGCGGTAACGTCCTTCCCGAGCCCTGCCGGAGCAGGGGCAGAGCGCGGTGGCTGAGGCGGCCCACGGGAGCCGAGGCCGAGCACGGGCTCTGGGCCGCGGTTAGGCTCTGCGCGCTCCGCTTCGGTCTGGAGCTGAGCATCAGGTGGGGACGGTTCTCCCCATTCACACTCGGCTACGGTGAGGCTTCCCTCCATTAAAAACCTAAGGGGGAGCTGCTTGCTGCTTCAGAATTATAATTTAAAATTACTACTAGTCCGAGAACACTAAAATTGACCTAAATATGAGCATACCCCGCAGATTGTTTGACCGGCTTTGTCCTGCAGCTCCTCTGACTAGAAAATTAGCCAGGAAAGTTATCCCGGGTGTGAGTGCCATGCGGGAAGGGCTGAGCTGGCCGGGGAGGGAAAGGGCCGGGGAGGGGGCGGCAGTACCTGAAGTCGCTGTAGGGATGGATGATCCAGAACCCGGCAGACTTAACCCTTTCCTGCTCCCTCTCCACGGCCTTCTGGCTGCCAAACATCCTCAAGGAGAATTTGTTGACCCCCGGCTGCAGCATGGCCCCGAACTGCCGCTGCATGAAGCCGGCCTGGCCCAGCCTCTGCTCCTCGTCCGGGGTGATCTGGTCGGCGCCGCCGCCCGGCTCCACCTTGGTGGG